CAGACAGGTGATCATCCAACCTCCTCTTGAATTTACCCAACCTCCTCTTGAATTTGCCCAAAATCCCTTGCGGTCCAGTACGGTCCACATGCATGGTGGCCCAAGGGTGAAGGGGAATGTGTGAACCAGAAAAACCCTGGATCATTGGATGGAGGTGCTGGTGAACAGAGTCAGGGAGTCAGAAGGGCAGAGGTGGGGGGATGTGGAAGAGGGGGAACCACTGTCCCATGCCAGCACTCCATCCAGCAGCCAGTCTCCTCCACCACAGGTGCTGCCAATGTGGGCCAAGTGCATGGCTTCCATGTTGGGGTACAAAGGCACCAGACCCTAGCATCAGACAGGTAGTGCCGAGGCCTCGGTGGCTACCAACTCACTGAGGACATGGAGCCACTGCTCTGTAACCCCTTGGCCTACTGGGCAAGCCACAGCCAGATGTGGCAGGATCTGGCCACAGTTACCTAGGAACATCTGTCCTGTCCACTGACCAGTGTTCTGAGTGAGAGAGTGTTCAGCATTACTGGGGATGTTGTGTCGCCTCACCACACCTGCTTGGATCCTGGTTTGGTGGAGCAGGTGGTGTTCCTGAAGGTGAACATCCCACTGCTGGGGTTCCCCAAGCTCCATGTGCAGATGGAGTGAGTGCCACCCTCCTCACTCTGGCCACACCTATTTCCTTTTTAATTTTTTTTTTAAACTATTCAATGCCCCACTCTCAGAGCTGGAGGCAGCACTCGCTGTATCACCAGCCAGCAGGGAAAGAACATCTCCCTGCTGAGCTCCCATTCCAGGATGAACTTGGAGGTATGGGCTGGGGCTATGAGAAAGGAGGACACCCCAGGTCCTAGGCATGACCTAAAACTGCACCCTGCCAGTGTTGGGAGGCCTGGTGGGACTGCCGGTGGTGCGGCAGCCCCCAAGAAATGCCAGGACTGCAAACCTCCCTGATGAAAGGTGGGTAGGAGGCACCTTATAACCTCTTGCCACCACACACATACATAGTCCTGGCTAGGGAAAGCCCAGACCTCTACAATCTTTGAGAGGCTTGAGGCTTGCTGGTTGCAGTGGAGTTCTGAGGCTCCAGGTGAGCTTAGCTGTCTGGAATGCCATCTGTGAGGCATGGGCTGCAATGTAGGAGAGGTATGGAGCTGCAGAATGGATGTCACCCCTAGAGATCAGGGGCCTAAATGCTTATCCTAAAAGCTTAGCAAGTTTTGGGGTTTAAAACCCTTCATCAGGCTGAAGAAGCATCTGTAATTGGTGAGTCTGCTCTTGCTGGATGGAAGAAATAGTAAAGAAGTTAGAGGCTGGCATGCAATGCAAGCAAGAAAGCCAGTGAGTGAAAATGTAAATTGAGGTGTCGGGGTGAGGGACAGGCTGGGAGGGAGGGGGAGGGAGAAGGGGGACATAGCAGGTAAAAGTGGAGAGGTACCTGGGGAGTCAGATGTCAGGCAGGTTATAGTGTGTCATAAATCCAGTGCCTATATTGAGTCCATGAGTTTCTGTATCTAGGAGGTTGGGGAAGTGAAGTTCATAGGCTCATCTGTGAAAAGTAGCTTGTAAATTCCTTTTGAGGATCAGGCCTGAGAGACTGGAGACGGAGTGGCTTTCTTGTGAGAAATGTGCCCCACAGGTAGTCGGGTATTTTTGTCGGTAATAGATTTCCAGTGTGCATTCATTTTGGTTTCATAGTTTCATAGTTTCTAGGGTCGGAAGAGACCTGAGCAGATCATCTAGTCCGACCCCCTGCCATGGCAGGAAAGAGTACGGGGGTCAAACGACCCCAGTAAGGTGGTCATCCAACCTCCTCTTAAAAACCCCCAGGGTGGGAGCCTGCACCACCTCACTTGGAAGCTGGTTCCAGACCCTAGCCGCCCTGACCGTGAAGTAGCGCCTCCTGATGTCCAACTTAAACCTTCCCTCCGCCAGCTTGTGACCATTGTTCCTGGTCACTCCTTGCGGC